GCACATCATTTGCATCTATCTCTCCCTCTTACACATCCCTTTTTTGTTACACTCAGGTTCAACCACCCAAATGACAGACTACGAAAGTATGCTCCTTAACATGGAGAGCCCAGAGGGTCTTTCGACGGACCTTCGTAGAAGTCTCTGCTTGGCTCTGTTGCGGCGCTTCGACCGACCGACAGGAAAACCCCTCTCTGCGGAATGTCTTAATTCATTCTTGCGCCTCCTATTAAGATTGACTGCATCCAGCTTTGACGATGCCGAAACCGTGGCGAATGCCGACTGTCTGCGGATTTTGTTTACTCTCTCGCATCCTTTCGAGTTCTCTTCGCAGTACTCGGCGTTTGTCGGTCACATCATAAGACAGGCAAGTCTATTTTACCCGATTTTCTAGATGAATTAAACAGCAGTCTTAGCCGATCGGCACTCCCTCGCTCTCTCTCATTTCTGTCGTTAGCTCATCATATAATATCCTCTATATGTTCCATCGTTATTTGCCTAACAATTAAAAAGAACATTCCATTTAGTGGCGTTAAGTGGTCGATTAATTCGAAGTCTCCTCTTTTTACTAAATGGATCATGCTGCAATGTCTTTCTGACTATCTTGGCCCTCAACTACCAGATTCGTTGATACATGAACGATAATTCTCTCCGCCCTCTTTCAGATTTTTGATGACCCATCTACCGTCACCGCAACTCTGCAACAGATCCTCAACAAATTTGCCGAAGGAGTCTGTTCCAGTTGCCGAGATTTGTTCTACTTACTGAGCCTTTGTGCACCTTTAGTCGCCAAGGCCGAGGACCTGGCTATCCGTCTAATGAAAGAGACCTTCTCGTTGGTTGTTGATGAAAAGAGTATCGAGGGTAAGTTTGGCACTCGTTCTTGTGTGCAATTCTGCTAGAATTTTCTTCAGTGCCCTCAATCTTTTTCTTGATATTGTCTTCTAGGAAGCCACATCCAGTAGTTATTCATCAGTTGCGTACTTCATTGTCACTTTTCAACATTTGCCTGATTTCCCCTGCATTCCGCATTAACTCGCGCATTTCGTAGATTCAACAGTTAGTTGACTCACTAGGTTATTTTATTTTTCTCAATCAGGAATTAGAAAATTCGCATTTCTAAGATGAACGACGTTTCTTGCCATTCCATTCATCTATTCTTAACCTTTACTTTGGTATCGAATTATTCCTACTGATAGAAAGCTTTTTTCTCCATCACTTAGATGGCGTCCCACCCAAGTCATTCTCGATTGCAAATCCCCTGGAGACCTCTGCCAATGATGTCACCGTCGACCTTTCTCCAGAGTTAAACAGTCGTCAAAAGCACATTGTTGTATTCATTATTGAAGCCCTTGTGAAGCCACCAACTCCAGCATCTGCAACCGTAAACGCGCCTGCTCAAACACCCGATGGATGGTCTCATGCCGCCAAAATGGTAGAGGGAAACAACATGTCCAATAAACCCATTTCTGGTAGCGAGGCCCAGTCACACGGTAACAACCCCGAAGAACCGGCATCGCTCTACGTTGGACTTTCCAAGCTGGATTATCTTCGGTACTTGGTAGATTTGGCAATTACCTCGAGAAAGGTTGCTGAATTCATAGCGAAATATACAGTCGAGGGTGTAAAGGGCACGGGTGACCGATCCTCCTTCGTGTCCTATCTCTTAACAACAGAGCTTCGGGAGCAAGCCAACATGGATTTGACTGTTCTTCTACTTGAGACTCTCGTCTTCAATACCTGCCTTCCCACCCAGTCCGCCATTATTTCTGAATTTAAATCTTCTCTGAGAGATATTGCTGCCGCGGGCCTAGCTCTGTTGAATGATCCCGACGAGGGTCACAAGCGAAATCAGCGAATAATAGCGCACATGCGCTTCCTAGACCAGCTTCTCTTTCTGCCTCCGCCTATCTCCCTCCATGTGATTAAGCAGATCTACAAACGTCAAATACCCTGTGATATTACAAAACTCCTAGCCCTCGCCAATTGCAATTTGACGAACACTCAACAAACGCTGAATTTTATTGTCAAAGTTCTTGAAATTTTGACCGAAAGTGTCCAACACAACCGGGCTGATTTGCCTGCACCCGGTAGACAGCAGCACCATCATCACCAACAGCAGCACCAGCAACGACATCAGAATTACGTCACTGTCATGACTACAGTGGCCGACGATTTGCACTCTGCCACTGAGACTGCCAACCCTGTAATTTCCTCACTTGCGCCTTCAGTTGAGGGCGAACCCATGCTGGTCGATCTGACACCCCCGACCTCCTCGAGCAGTAGACGCAGTGCGGCT